CCCCACTGTTGCCCATCAATATAGACTTTATATAACACATTAAAATTCGGGTCGGACATCATCTGTACATGGTACCACTTGTTTGGTTGCTTGAGCACATTCCTGCCAATATTAATTATCGTAGGGCTTTTCTGGGTCCATGTGATTTTTATTTGCAAGTTCGTGAAGGTTGTACTGGGACTGAGGAAGAAGGAGAAGAAAGGATAATTGTTGTACGTAACAAGACACTTTTCAGCGTCTCGGGAGGCCAAGGCAAAGGTCTGGCAGCCGTAGTTATCATGTAGTATGAAGTTGCACCATTGTTGTGAGGCGGCTGGCACCACCACCACCACAGTGAACAAGAGCACCACACCCACCCCAAGCTGGAGCACTGACGTCATCCTTCTCATGGTGACCCTCCGTCGTCACCACGGACAGTGACCTCACTCACCACGGACAGTGACCTCACTCACCACGGACAGTGACCTCACTCACCACGGACAGTGACCTCACTCACCACTGTATATATTACACAACTGTGCTATAACAAGTTCGCTGCCTCCAAGAGTCGTCACAGGGACCTCTCACTTATGGTCGTCACTGCCAGTCACTCACGGGTCACGACCTGGTCCTGGGGGGTCGTCGGGACCGTCGTGGGTGTGTGTGACCTTCACTATGACCAAGATGGGAGTGTTGGTGAGAGTGCCACAGTGCCAGGCTGGGCCACGCCTCAAGAATATTCTCGCCAGTAGTAAACATCCTGTAGCTGCTTTTTTGCTGCTTCATAAGCTCCTTGAGGAGTTGTCAACACGAGCGACCACCAGCCAGTTTTCGGGTCTACTGCACACTGTTGGGATATGTATGAAAGATTGGTCTGAAACACATTACTGGTCCTCTAGTATATACAACTAAATCACACTTTTGCAATATAACAATTTCATTGGTTAATTTAAATGTAAAAAATGACGTATGGTATCATTGACGAAGTTTCTACATTGTCTATAAATATATCTACATATAGTGTACTATTGGTATGTGTATCTATGTGTACTGCCGATATGTTTATCAATGTTTACTACTGATATGCGTATCCATGTGTACTGCTGGTATATGTATCTATGTGACTTACTGACATGTGTAGCTGTGTGTGCTACTGGTCGCACTTTTAGCTCCTGTTGACTTCCAGTTAATTGGTATTATTTATGTTTAAGTTTTAGGCCTATACATTAGATAAATCACATATATTCATCTTCGCTTCTATCAGTCTTGAACACAGTCACTTGATTACCGCGTCACGCACAATCTTACCTATCTCAGTCACTTGATTACTGCGTCACGCACAGTCTTGCTTACCTCTCTTATCTCGCAAATAAACACCGAGACTTGAGAGCTGTTTAATAATGCAGTCAAGTTTTGTATTATATTTTTTCTAGTGGTTTGTAACTTTCTTTTATGTAAGTGGTGAAGTATATATAAATATCAGTATTATTCATTAGTTTGTTGACACACTGCACTGCCAACACACTTGTCAGTTAGAAAGGCGGGGTCCAAGAGCTAACAGCTCGATTCTGCAGGCACAAATAGTAAATGCACTACTATGAGGGGCCTCTATGTTGTCATTCTCCTGCCAGCAAGCAACATGGATCAGCTGTTTAATATTGTCTTACGTCAGCATGGCGCCAAAGCCGACGTAGAGGCTGTTCTCACTGTCGTGGGCGGAGCCTTTGCGGGCGTCCCCATCCGCCGCCCACACTCGCATCCACGCCCTCTTCACCCGTCGGGAACGGCCGGACAGCGCCAGCCATGGGGTGGAGGTCGTTCATGTCCTCGTAGATGTGGTCTTCGGGGTCGTCGACGTCGTCGTAGTTGTCTTCATTGGCAGTTCTGGGAGGCGCTGAAAGACAGAGGGAATGACCCAGTTTCCTGGTCAATAAGATTCGTATTCTTTTCTTTTCTCTTCCTCGCCTTGATCACCAGTGTTGCAATGATGATGGTGACGACTGCAGCAGCAATAACCCCGACAATGACCACTATATACCAGGGTAGACCAAGAACTAACCTGGTTGTCGCCTCCATGGTGTCGTTTTCTGGTTTACTGGAGTCCTCCGTAGTGGAATGTTCTTCGGCGGCTTCTCCGTTTTCTGTGGTGTTTGCTGGTGGGGGAACTTTAGGGTAGCTTAAGTCCACCCCCGGAAGGTTGACTGCATCGTCAGTAGACTGAACTGGAGATGGTGTTGTTGGTGGTGAAGGCGCTGCTGGTGGTGGTGTTGTGTCGACCGTGAAGGAGGGTAGTCACTAGGGTCACAGTCGCGAGCATAGTATGGTGAGCCAGTGACGTAGATATCGAAAGTGTTGGCACTGAAATATTGACCGCAGCTTTCGCCGTTCTTGTCCATCAACATAGACGTAATACGTCTCATCAACAAGAGATGTGTGCGACGTCATCTGTATACGGTACCACTTGTTTGGTTGATCCAGCACATCCCTGCCTATGTAAATTGTCTCAGTCACTCCCAAGGTCCATGTGAGTATCACTTGCAAGGACGTGAAGGTTGGGCCGGGTCTGAGGTAGAAGGAGAAGGGAGGAGAACCTCGGGTCTCAAACTGACACTTGCCAGCGTCTGGAGAGGCTAGGATGTAGGTCGGACAGCCGTAGTTATCATGAAGCTCTCTGTCGCACCATTGTTGTGAGGCGGCTGGCACCACCACCACCACAGTGAACAAGAGCACCACACCCACCCCAAGCTGGAGCACTGACGTCATCCTTCTCATGGTGACCCTCCGTCGTCACCACGGACAGTGACCTCACTCACCACGGACAGTGACCTCACTCACCACGGACAGTGACTCACCACGGACAGTGACCTCACTCACCACTGTATATATTACACAACTGTGCTATAACAAGTTCGCTGCCTCCAAGAGTCGTCACAGGGACCTCTCACTTATGGTCGTCACTGCCAGTCACTCACGGGTCACGACCTGGTCCTGGGGGGTCGTCGGGACCGTCGTGGGTGTGTGTGACCTTCACTATGACCAAGATGT